GTGTGTGTGTGTGTGTGTGTGTGTGTGTGTGTGTGTGTGTGTGTGTGGCGTGGGGGCACGTGGGTACAGGTGTACCTGTGGCGCTGAGTGCTTCCCGAGGGCAAGGCAGGGCTTTCAGGAGTCAGCTCTCTCCTGTCATCTAGATGGAGTACAGTCTGCCCTGACTCTACTGCTAGCGCACAGTGCGCTGCCCTAGGCTGGCCTGCCTGACAAGCCACCTGGTGGCTTCTTCTGTCCCTGCCTCCTACCTTACCCTAGGAGATTTGGGATTACAGCTTCGAGCTACCTAGCACACCTGTTTGTTGTGGTTTTGTCTGTCTTGAGTTTTGACACGTGGTTCAGGGCCAGACTCTTTAAGCTGGCACAATGAGTGGGTTTAAGGGCTGAGCCATCTCCCCAGCCCACTTGAAGTCTGATGCTTAGCTCATGAGTTAAGAAAGTTGTGCCCCCAGGGGTGTTTTCTGAGACTGATACTCCAACCAAGGACCATGCATGGAGATAACCTAGAAGCTCTGCTCAGATGTAGCCCATGGCAGCTCAGTCTCCAAGTGGGTGCCATAGTAACAGGAACAGGGACTGTCTCTGATATGAACTCAGGGGCTGGCTCTTTGATCACCTCTCCCTGAGGGGGGAGCAGCCTTGCCAGACCACAGAGGAAGACAATGCAGCCAGTCCTGATAAGACCTGATAGACCATGATCAGAAGGAAGGGGAAGAGGTCCTCTCCTATCAGTGGACTTGGGGAGGGGCATGGGTGGAGAAGAGGGAGGGAGGGTGGGGTTAGGAAGGAAAGAGGAAGGGAGCAACAGGTGGGATACAAAGTAAATAAACTGTAATTAATAAAAATTTAAAAAAAGAAATGGTATAGTAACATACCAACAACTAATGTTCAAAATACTAAGATGTTGATAAAAATGGTTTTTAACCGCCCCCAAAAAAAGATGCCTCCCAAATCCTCTCCCATCTCTGCCATTACAGTGTCTTTTCCCAGCCTCACCGACTATGTTGAGCAATGCCTTTTTTCCAATGTCCAATACTAAAAACTCCGGAATAAATTACTTATGCTATTTTTTTTCATTTGCAAAATAAAATTTAGTAAGTGATCTTCCTGTCCAAATGTTATGAAGATGAAAAAATAGGTAAGGGCTTTATTTATTAGAACTTAAGAGTCACTGACAAAAGATTATGTATTTTCATAAGATTATATATGTACATAAGATATACATGTAAGTGTGCTGAAAGAAAATATACAAAATATACAAATTCTTTGAAGTCGTTTACTGCCACCTTGTGGTCACTGATCACACTTTTTCTCTTTTAGATACAGACGGATAGCCAGCGATTTCTGAATGACCTCCGAAATGATATCGAAAAGAAAATAGGCTTCGATGCTATTATGAGGGTCCGCACCAGTACAGGTGTCTGTCACACTCTCATCATTTCACGTCTCCTCGGCGTAATCATTTTCTCTTTAAATTACGGCACTGCAAAGCACAGCGATGTTCAAACCAGCAACATTTCCTTTCTTCCCGCACTTCAGGTTTCAGGGCCACTGACTTCTTCGGTGGAATATTAATGAACAACACCACAGACGTGGAAATGGCGGCCGTCGACTGTGACAAGGCTGTGACGGTCGAGTTCAAGCACGATGACAAGCTGAGCGAGGATGCCGGAGCCCTGATCCAGGTGATTAAGTACCCGCTCTGACCTCTATGATGTGGCACCAACTGTGGCACCCCTTCACAGCAAAGCCCACCTCTTTCTCCAAGGCACGAGTCCTTAGGTCACTCTTCCGTGGTTTACCCACAGGTTGATGAGTATACAAATGTAAGTAGCATCTTATGTGACACAGCAGCCCTTGGCCTGGCCAGCTGATGGGAAGTGTCAGGCATCAACAACCTGGTTTCTGTGAAGTGTCTGAGTCCAAGGTTCTTGAACTCATGTGACCCCGTCCTAATTAGTTCTTTTTAGTCAATTCACCCTTTTAAAGGTATTTCCTCCATGGTCTTCCCTAAGGAAGAGCACACCAATTGGTTGTCCAAGTGCCAGACCATCAGACCTAAAAATATACTTACAAGCAATATTATTTGGACTGAACAGTTTATATAGTGAGGAATGAATACATATTTACATATGCTGATGTACAGGCAGTAACTATTAGTGAAATAAGAGGCCGTGCATTTTAAGGAGAGTGCGGAGGGGTGTACGGAAAGGGTTTGGGGAAAGGAAAAGGAGGGGAGAGATGTGATTATATTAATCTCAAAAATAAAAATTAAATAAAGGTCCTACCTCCATATGAAGTTTTATTCTAAGGTGCTGGGCCAAGGGTTAGAGCTTCAGTGTATTTGGCCTCTAGGATTATGCTAAAGCGTTATATCCTAAACAAATGGGACAGGGCTGGCTCTGAGTAAATCAATTAAGTAATATATCAAGAAATAAAACAAAATATGTAAAGATCATCGTTTTCAAACATCACTTCACACTTACAAGGTAGAGAGCTTGACGTAGGTGAGGACGAGCTTGAATACTTGGTTTTAGATTGCAGGTGCTTGGGTAGTGGCTGTGTTCCCGTAGGCCCCAGTGCATGGCCAAAACCAGCCTTGTCGTCTCATGGCAAGTGAGCCTTGGGCAGGGCTAGGAATGCATGCCGATTTTGTTTCTGGCCCGAGATGCTTGGTAGTAAGATCTGTGAGATGCAGATGAGTGTGAAATGTGACTAGCTTGATAGCTTAAACCGTTGAAATGCTACAGTGAATGAATTAGTCATTCTTCCCCCGAGGTGTTTTTTCAGTCTTTAAGAATAATGAAGAAAACCCTGGGAATTTTTAGAAATGGCACATCTGTGCACACTGTTCGATACATGCCAGTAGGATTAAACTGGCTCAGCTGGATCTGGTCAGCAATACCCTTACCTCCCCATTGCTTCCACAGTGTGCTGTGCTCTACACGACCATCGGCGGTCGGCGAAGACTTCGGATTCACAATCTCGCCTTAAACTGCAGCACCCAGCTAGCAGACCTCTATAAGAGCTGTGAAACGGATGCCCTTATCAACTTCTTTGCCAAGTCAGGTAGCATCTTGCTAATGTCATAGCTCGGCGATTCAGTCGAGACTCAGTGGGTAACTAGTCAGAAGCTGGAAAATACGGGTAAAGTCGAAGGTTAAAGAATGGCCAGCACCTCCAGCCATAATGAGGAGACCAGCCTCTCCAGGGCCAGGCCACACAGATTTGGCTTGAGTTTTCTTCCTAGTGAGGAATCTGATGGTGACATTTACGAGTGTCTAGCATTGCTGACTGACACCAATGTTAACTGTCTGTGCCCTGATAACTAAGAAGCAGGATGGATGATTTCTTTGACTTCCCTTCTGAAAGTCTATTCTTAAGGTATGGAAGAGAGCATTCCAGCCTGCAGAAGTCAGGGCTTGGGGAGAAAACTGGCCTGCCTTTTCTGTGTATAGAATTCTACTTCTAGTAGTCCCAAGATAAACCTGGATCTGTGTAACCATTTGCTCTAATAGACCATTGCCCTTCATCGCCAAGATCATCCTATTAACTCAAAAGAGGAGCAGTAGCAAGAACATTATCCTTGTTTGGTAGTCAGAAGATAACAGCAACTTGCTCTTTGTTATTGAAGAAATCAGTCCCTAAAGCTTTTCTATTTGTGGTTCTGTGTCTCTAGCTTTTAAAGCAGTTTTGAACCAGCCTATGAAGGTCATCCGGGAAATTCTAGTTAATCAGACTGCCCATATGTTGGCATGTTACCGGAAGCACTGTGCGAGTCCGTCTGCAGCAAGCCAGGTGAGTTCCCTGCTGTGCTGAGCAGCCAGCATACACAGAGCAAGCGTGTGCAGCTTCTGCACCCAGATGCTTCAAAGTGGAGCATGCAGTCAGGTAAACTGAGGGTGTGGCTGGGTGGGGGTGGGAGGATGGCAACAGTGGACTTACATACCTTCATAGCCAACATCGAAAAAGAAACTTGGCTTTCTACAAAGTGTCTGAACGAAAATTACGACAGTCCACAACCACACTGTTTATAAACAGAAGAATGTCCTAATATACCAGGATTCTCTTTTGCATATCAGCTTAGGTGTTTTGTTGGAAAATGTGCATGCATAAGTACATTTTAGGCACATAGATAATGTTGCCATGAACTGACGGCAGTAATGACACTGGTGCTCTAAAAAGTAAAATATGATTTGTTACATAAGTGGTGGAGTTATTTTCATTTAAAAGTTACATAGTGAGACAAGGTCAAAGTCTTCCTATGTAGACCTGGCTGGCCTGCACCTGTCTAGACTCAGGCAATCCTCCAGCCCCCGTGTAAACATTATTAATAAAAATCACTTTGAAACAATTGTTTCTGGCCATCATGTAAGTAATCTGAGAATTTAGATCTCTTGGGTAAACTTGTCTTAGAAAGTTAAGCCGGGTGTTCTGCCTGTATCCTCTGCTTCCCATTCTTCCCTGTGTCAGTAGAGCTAGGTGCTGGTTTCCATAGCTGAATACTGACTATCTAATTTTGCTTAAGAAGGAGTTCTGTGAGCAACTGGTGGAAAATTTTTGTAACTCATTCTTTAAGTGGTTAGTTAGTCCACCTTGGAGGACGCTGTAAGCAGGAGGAGAATACAGACAAAGTTTGCTTCTGAATTCAGCAACTGAGTAAAGGAAGAAAATAAGACAAACATTTGTTACCCTGCACTTTTGAGGAAAGTTCCTTTTTTGTGTTGCTTGAAGTGATTAGTCATCCATTCTTTTAACTTCTGAATTGACAGTTATGCAGCCAACTGCTAAAGCTATATGGCTGTTCAGGTCTCTTTATTATTCAGGATATTTTCACTTTAGTTGACTCAAGTCTCTGTACTATTGCGTAAGCCAGGCATAGTGGCATACGCCTGAGGAGGAAACAGGATCAGGGGTTTAAGGTTATTGAGGCTTACCGAAGCTATATGAGATTCTGTCTTAAAACAAATGAAGGAAGTAAGGGAAGGGGGAAGGAAGGAAGGAAGGAAGGAAGGAAGGAAGGAAGGAAGGAAGGAAGGAAGGAAGGAAGGAAGGAAGGAGAAAAAATGCAGGCAGACAGACAAAACAGGCAGGCAGACAAGCATAGTTGGATAGTGCTTGTTTGAGTCATGTGAGCCCACCAGGTGCTTGTGGAATCCAGCGTAGACGGAGTCCAGCCATGAGCGCTTTGGCACTGTGCAGCCATCTTTACTCCTTGTCTTGGATATCTGGAAGATACTCTTCTGCCTCTGGAGTGTCTCACCTTTCAGAAGGAACAGTCGACATAGAGCAGGCCCAGAGTTTATTTGCTAATATTAAAATGCTTTTGCCTTTAAAGGCCTTAAATGAAAAAACAATCTGTGGCTTGTTTAAGGAGAAAAATAAAACTTACGATTTCATTCTGGTTTAAAAGTTAGAGGAATTATGTCTACACTAGGTTATCTATTTTTATGGCTTAAAAATTGGTGAGCAAGCCATTTTGATACTTGTTTTACTAAGGTTGGGTCACTAGAGATGATTCTTGCTCCATTTAAAATTAGATGTTTCTTTTTCCGTCTGAGCCTTTCAGTTGCACCTTTAAACCACCCAATGAAGCTAGGGCCCTAACACTCCAGTCACCTCTAACACCCACCTCTAAACACCAGTGCACTGAGGACCAAGCCTTAAATGCTGTGTCTTTATCCAGACCCCAGCACCAAGCCAGACCATCAAAATACATACTTTGATTGTATAACAAACTTGCGTGGACTGCTTTTACTCAGTTACTAAAGGCAAGAGAAGCCACTTGGATGCAGAATTTAAGGAGGCACCATTTTGACGTAGAGGCCCAGCTATGAGAACAGTCAAGAAAAAAAAAAAAAAAAAAGTTCCAGCAAATGTTCAAGTTTGCAGAAGAGAGTTAGTCATCTTTATGAAATCAAATAAGTCACATATTATTGGGGAATAAAATGCTCTTCCAAAGGCAAGCCAGGGGCTGGAGAGATGGCTCAGCATTTAAGAACACTTGTTATTCTTTTAGAGGATTGAGTTTGATTCCCAGCACCCACATTTTGGCTCACAACCATCTATGACTCCAGTTCCGGGCATCCTGTGTCCTCTTCTGACCTTTGAGAGCACTAGCTATTCACCTACTGCACAGACATACATTTGAACACCCAAAACTTAAAATATATATATATATATTTTATTTAAAATATCACTGAAGTCCTTCTTCAAAAAAAAAAAAGGTCAGGCAAAGACTTTAACTACAAAATTGCTAATGTTTTTGTTCATTACTGCTCTGCCATTAGGAAATGCAAATAAATTTTACAAACTCAGTCAAACCAACGTTTCGTGAATTTTGGCTCACCCCTAACCAGTACCTTTTCTCTCCAAGGTAATTTAAATATGGGGGAACCGGGGAACCTCAGGGAAGATTTTACATTAAAAACCGATGACACGTCTTCTGGTCTGCATGCATACAAACACACACACACGCACACACAGACATAAACATGTGTAAGAAGAGAGAGCAAAAACTAGGACAGGCTCACGAAACGAATGTTTTCTCTTTCAGCTTATACTGCCAGATTCCATGAAAGTTCTGCCCGTGTACATGAACTGTTTGCTGAAGAACTGTGTGCTGCTCAGTAGGCCAGAGATCTCCACTGATGAGCGGGCCTACCAGCGGCAGCTGGTCATGACCATGGGCGTGGCTGAGTCCCAGCTCTTCTTCTACCCACAGCTCCTGCCAATAGTAAGCGTGTGGTGACTGTGTATTCCCTAGAGCTGTTTGGGAGGGAAACATGTGCTGGGTGCTTGCTCCTAAGAAATTCAGAGTCAGAAGCGTGTGGCCTGGGCTCTTTGAGCAAGTTGCATGTGCTCAGAGTGGCTGAGAAAGGATGTGAGGAGTCCTGTCACTGGGTCGGTCAGATTGCTTCCCTTTCTGCATCATTCTTAAATTGGCACTAATCAATTAAGTGGGCACTTTTAGAAGTCTATAAATAAGTTGGTGCTGGAAAACTTCAGCATTATACAAGACCACTTCCATACCTGCTGGGGGAATGTTCTGTGGGCGTGGATGATCTGATTTCATATACTGTGTGACTGTCTTGAGAGTTTGTGAAGAGTTTGCATGTTTACTCAGACTGGCTTTTCTCAGTTGCAGTCAGGGGCTTACAGATGAACACACACACACACACACACACACACACACACACACACACACACACGAGAACTGCAGATGAGGATTCCTGTGCCATGCAAGAGCCCAGCTGCTCTTGTCCTCAGGGGTTCACATGGCAATGGATTCCACTTTGTGGATTGCCCTTCACTCTGCCTGGACTGTTTCTCCCCGGGATCTAGAAGACTGACAGACTGTGCAATTCCTCCTAGCAAACAGTAGGTACTTAACAATAACTCAGTCAGGATAAAATGTTAGAAATAAAAAGATATCATCTCAGTGGATGCGAGGGTAAGAAATGAATTATTTCAAATGATTGATTGTCACATAAAATTGGGTCGTCAACAGTGGGTGGGTCACAGAAAAGAAACTAGAGCCCAGCCTCTGGGCAGCTTCTTTCTTACCTTCATTCCATTCCTTAGAGGTCCTTGTGTTCTGGGTTTTAGATATCATTTACTCACTGCTGGCCACACATTCCTGTCTCTGGATGTACAGGAGACATTGGAAAGCTGCTGGTCTGACCCTGCTGGGGCTTCTCCCGAGTCCTTCTGCCTTCTGCCTTCATGTTCTCTGGCTGGCATGTCTTAGCCATTCTCACTGTTTCCTCTCTACCACGTCTACTGTCAGCAAACAGGCCAGCTCTTCTGGGATATCCACAGTATAACCACTTTTTGTCCCTTACTTGTTGCCACCAGACACAGACATGATCACCGTCCTCCTGCCTTCTCGGCCTAGCCCGTCTCTGTGTTCCCACCATTGCCTCTTCTTCAGTCTGCTTGCAGGTCAGAGATCAGGGCAGAGTGAGCCCATTCAGATGACTGGCAGCCTATCTCTCCTCAGGCCAGCCCAGAACATCTCTGGCCAGTGTTGTCCCTTCTTTGCCCCGTTCTGTCTGAGCCCTGCCTTCTGTTCCTCTCGTTTTGTGCCAGTCATGCAGGTCTCTTTGCTGACCCTCAGACACCCTAGCCAGGTTCTTACCTCAGGGCCTTTGCATACATTTTTCTGTATGTCTGGAATGTTCTTCCTTAAATATCCCCAGGCTCGGCTCCTCAGTTCTTGCATCCTCAGGTAGCTTTACTCAAAATGTACCTTTGCCAGAGCCTTCCTAGCTCCCTGACCCAACCACTGGCAGTTTTCCTACTCGCCATTTGCTTTCCACATAGCTCTTAACACCATCTACAGTTTTAGATATGTGTGTGTTGTGTTGTCTTTCTTCCTCCAAAAGACCATCAGCTGCACAAGGCAGAGATTGTCTATACCAAGGAGGGTTTAATTAACTATGCACTGCAAAAGAGGAAAGGGGGAAGAGAAAGGAAATGAAAAGCACGAGAGAGGAAAGCATTCTTAGGTCTCTTGACTCTGCCCGAACAGCACACGTTAGATGTGAAGAGCACTGCGCTGCCTCCCGCCGTCCGCTGCTCCGAGTCTCGACTCTCTGAAGAAGGAATGTTCCTGTTGGCTAACGGTCTGAACATGTTCTTGTGGTTAGGAGTGAGCAGCCCACCAGAGCTGATTCAAGGAATATTTAATGTGCCATCGTTTGCACATGTCAACACAGATCTGGTGAGTGTCTTTTCAATTTTGTGCTAAATACGATTTCTTAAAATTCATGTGATACAAAGAAGAAAAACAGCGTGTGTTTATATAGTTCTACATGAGAAGCATATTTTGATGACTAAAAACTAGAAAACGTAAAATAATGTAATGAAGTGTTACTCTAAACAAGGCTTCAATAGAAATTGATAATATAGAGAGATGACTCGAGGTTTAGAATGCCTCCTGTCCTTGCAGAGGACCCAAGTTCAATTCCTACCACCCGCATTAGGAAGCTTATATTTGCCTGTAACTCCAGATGCAGGGGATCTGACATCTTCTTCTGGCCTTCATGAGTATCTGCACATATGTGGCATACACACATGTGCGCGCACACACCCCCCCCCACGTGTTCTCATGCATGCAAACATTGACAACTCTTCCAGTGCATGCATTTTAAGCCTAACATCCTGTTTCATTCGCCTGACACATCAGTGAGGTAGATGGCGCAGTAGTGTGTTCCTGATGAACTAGCGAAGCCAAGAGCGGCTTCTTGCTGGTGGTAAGGTCAGAGGTACCGCTTGCATACATTTTCAACTCAGTTTCTTCGGCCTTGATGTTGAACTGCCTGTTCGTGAACATTCAGAGTCCATCCTAGGTTTTTCGCTACATACTAAGATTAATGAGGCACAAAACAGATCATGCCCCCAACCCTTTCCTAATCCCTAAGCAATCCCACCTTCTGCTAATTATGACAAAAGAAAGTGTGTGTTGATGAAGAGATGAATATCAAAATGTCTTAGGAAAGCTCAGCACTAGCGTGGGTTAACATTTGTTGCAGCCTTCCTTGCAGGCCCTCGGTGCACATGAATAGTGGGTCTCCACCACATTTGTGCTTTTCACAGGGCACCATCTCACTATTTAAAAAAAAAAAAAAAAAAAAAGGAACAAAATTAAAATCCAGATAGGGTTACTTTATTTTTAGCCTCATTTGGCACTATGTGCTATATAGTTAACAATACTTCTTGAATAAAATGATTCACCATAATGCCATAAAACATACATGAGGGATGTACTGTGAGCACTAGTGATGAATATTCTGGCCCCCTCAGAAATCCTGTGAAATACACTGGCTGTAAACTCCCCTGAGACCTGCAGCTTTCCTGTAGCACATTCTCACCCTGCCCCGTAGCTAACGCACAGGAAGTGTGTTGAGTGGATTTGGTACCTTCTCGCTGAGAAGGCAGCATCAGCATCCTGCTCCGTCTTACCTGCCTGACTCCTAATGCAGCTGTGCTGTTTTGCACACTAAACAGATGTCATGGAAATGTAAAAGACAGCTCTTGAGAATCAGCACTCGCTTGTTACTTCAATGTTGGAACACTACAGCATTTTTTTAAACAAGGAAAAGGCACATCCTTTTGTCTCCCCATGTGGCCTTGATGATCGCCTTCCTCAGAGATGACCCAAAGCTGCCCTTTCCAAGAAACACACCTGTTGCTGACCTGTTGCCACATTGCAGTAATGACCTATATTTCCAAAAGCGATAACTGGGTCGTTGGTGGAAAATGTATGCTAATAAAAATGAGTATGTATAGTTCAGTTTTCCTCAGTTTTCAGGTAAAGGAACTAAGCCAGTACCTAGTCTATGTGACAGTAGAGGGATGCTTTTATCATTCTGGGGGTCTTGTATTGCTGCCTCTGTTCCAAGTATCTCAAGTTGCACTGAAATTGTGGTGCTCTTCCATTTAGACATCGCTGCCTGAGCTGGGAAATCCACACTCTCAACAGCTCAGAATCATAATGAATAATATCCAGCAAAAGAAGCCATACTCCATGAAGGTAAGATGAGATTTTCCTCTTTTCCTTTATCTCATCAAAAAACCTCTTGTATGCATATTTGACCTTTGATAGATGTCTGTCTACTTAATAGGCACAAGCACAAAAATAAGCAGCTATGATCATGGCTTTTCTTTCTATATAAAACTTAGTGATCATGATGGCCTTCCTTGTGGTGTAGAAACAACTGCTGTCATTAACAACCTTTGAAATAACTTTCCCTTTGGTGACTTATGTTATGTAATCAGAGAATATCATTCAGGACATGGTAAAATGTTTTGTTCTATACCTCAACCATTTTATTATGTTCCATTTGGATAAAAATAATGTCTTTGTTCCAAGAAGGTCTTAGTGGCCAAGTCCAAGCTGCTTGTACCCATCTCCTTCTGTAAGCTATGTGCTGGAGCCTCCTGGATGTGGAGCTTTCTCTGGGAACACTCCAGGTAGTCTCCTTGCTATTAGACGCAGGCCTCTGCATGACCAGCCTGCTGTGAGGTCAGTTTCCTCTTGCCATGCAGACTGGATGCTCATCTCAATCAATACTCATAACCATAGTAGTAACTCCTGTGTACAGACATCAACTCTAAGTAGAGCTGAGGTAAATACAACCGCTTCACAGTCTCTAGGCATCTGGGTGAACATGTGACATTCCAGAACTGTTTCCCTGCCTCATGGGCTCAGAGTAAATGCAGGGCTAGTTGCTGAAGAGAAGCCGAGATACTCCACAGAGCACCCCCTGGAGTTGGCAGATGAATACAGCGACACCTTGAACTCCCAGGAAGCACAAATTGAAAGCCTCTGGCACTGATAATGCACGGTGACAGTGGTCTCCTTCATCCCAGCTGCAGTAGCTGCACCCCTGTGCATGCACACTGACAGGGAAAAGATGGGTCAGGCCATGGAGGTCACCCTGTGCCTTCTGGCCCCTCCTTCCAAGAAGAAAACAAGCCTTTTCTCTCCAATGCTGTTTCTCCCTTACTCTGATAACCCTTGAGTTAAGGTCATTCGTTTCAACATTGGCTGTAAAATAAATAGCTAGGGATAAACTTTATTCTGGCGTGTGTCTAGAACAGAAGCAGCTAGGACAGTTACCAAATTTTCTTATGTGGAAATGCATCTACTGCTACTGTTACTTACGTGGAAATGCATCTACGGTTGCTTTTAGATTCCTCTGACTTTCCCAGGGTGGATATCTCTATAGACAGTTCGAAACGTATCAAACCAACATGTCACAGCCTAAAGGAATGATAGCATGCCTGCTCCACTTGGTCCATCCATTTCCATGCCCCTCTCGATCTCACAAACTGGTGAAACTAGCTCGAAGGAGCCAGCCAATTTAGTCAGCATCCCGCATTATCTCATGGCAGATGCAAGGCCAGGCCACAGCAGCGCCCCAGCAGTTGCGGTTCTGGAGTTGCAGCTGCATTATGACACCGTGTCTATCCTAGTGTCCTCCCAGAAGATGGACATCAGCTGCCTCCCTTTTAGTCCCTGCTCTTTCTGTTCTGTGTTCGATCTTTAGTTACAGCCCTTCCTTAGAACCTGTTCCGAGTTCCTCCCCACTTGTACTTTCCCGCAACCGATAATTCTTCTTTCACAGAAGTGGCTGCTTCTCTGGGATTTCCTTCCCCTTCTTCATTCATTCTGGAACAACCGCTTCACATCAGTCATCAAATTATCTACCAGGCTTCCAGAGAAAGTTCGTGCTAACTCAATCTCCTTCATTCTGTAGATTTAACTCATTAGACATTCTTCACTTGGGATAACAAAATGTGGTTGTTTAGAATGCAGTAAGAAAAAAATAATGAAGCACTTGTTTCCATTGAATGAGCCCAGACTGGCATTCTGACATCTTTCTCTTATGTCTTCCATCATGTTCTGTCTGTTGTATGAATCTGACTCTTTACTTGCCTGAAGGCTATCTTGAGACTCTGTCTGTCCCTGGCCTTGTGTGTCTATCTGACTCTAGTAAAGACCTCTCCTCTCTCTTTATTGACAGTACAGAAAGTGAAGGAATGAGGGATATTTCACAGGCATCTTCAATAGAGTTCTACAAGGGATTAAGTCACTGACTTCAACTGACCCAGATGACAAATAGTATCACAAACATCATTGTTTATCAAGCAATATCCATGTTGCTTTCAGCGTTTATGGTGGCTCTTTATTTTGTTAGACAATTTTTAGCCTATTTGCAATTTTCAGCAAATTGCTAAACATAAAATTCACATGTATTACTCGTGGGCTAGGTGTTACCTTAGTTTGTGAAACTTGATTACATGGGAAGCCCAAGGCAGGTAAAGTTGGTTGTTCTCTTAAAGGCAATTTAAACAAACAGCTTGATTACACATTAGGATAGCACTTTTAAGTGATCTCAAAGTGTATTATTACCTGTGAGGTTCAGCAAAAGTTCTATTCTCTAAGCTTATAAGAGAGATTTTCATAATAATAATGAAATGACTCACCACCACCCCCAACCCCACTTTCACAGAAACTACCGAATTGCTAAAGACAGTGGATTTCCAGGTATTGGTGGCAGCCATGCTAGGCTGGGAAAGAATAACTTCCTTTCTCAAAGCCATGCATGGGCACATTCTATTCCTATACAGACAGACAAAATAACCCTTTGGCAAAGCTATTGTCAGTTGTTACCTTTACACACATGGGGAGAGTAGACTGCAACTAAGACATTGCCTCTTTTGGGCTGGTCTGTGAGCATGTGTGTAGAGCATTCTTGTGATTACCAACTGACGTAGGAAGTCTAATCCTGTGCGGGCAGTGCCATCTCTGGGCAGGTGACCTGGGTTGTATAAAAACGGTAGCTGAGAAAGCGAGTAAGCAGGTTTCTGTGTGGTCTCTGCTTCAGTTCCTGCCTCTATGTTCATGCCCTGGCTTCCTTCAGTAGTAGACTATAACCCATAAACCAAAATAAACCCTTTGTCTCCCCAAGTTGGTTTTAGGCAGTATTTCATCACAGCAACAGAGAAGTAAAGTAGGACATCCCTTAAAGGAAATCTCTCCAAAGGTGCTTTAAGACAGCAACCTGAACTTGAACCACAGGTGGTCTGTTTAGGATCCTTGGCCTCCTGGCCATGTTGCATATATTCCTACTCTACAGTTGCGGGTGCTAACTGTGGTCTCACCAAGGAAAGCAGTGCCTGGGGCCATGGCCCTTCTTGATGTAGGAAGCAGTGTTAGCATTTCCACACAGAATCACTATAAACCATACGGAGATTTTCTACATTTTCATATTACATTTCACAGATCCATCGTTTCTTGCATTCACAGCACCTGGCAGTTAGGGCTGTGAGTACACACTAGTCGACGGAGCTGTAGCTGCACTGAGGGCAGTGCAGTCTGTTGCCATGAGCAGCAGTAGTTGTTTTAGTCTCTCACATTTACTCCTTTTCATCTCGATCCTTTATTCATATTCTGGCCACCACCCAGCTAGCCTTGCAGCAATTCCCTAGACCTTCATCTAGTTATCTTCATCTCACTAGTGTACCTACTGCTACCTGTTGGCTCTTCTTTCATCCTTCTCTGCATTCATGTCCTGCAAAAGGCCCAAACTCCTTATCATGGTAATTGTCTCTAACCCTTACCACCCTCTAAACGTCTGTAATAATTTACCTGCCAGCTGTCCAAATTCTGCTATGCAGTATACCACTCCAGAATGTTCTCTGACCTACCCTGTCCTTTGAGACTTAGGTGACAGTGATTATCTGGGCACCTACATGGATTTGTACATTCCTACACACACACACACACACACACACACACACACACACACACACACACAAAATTAAAAACCCACACAAACAGGTATGTTCACATCATCCAGGCTTTTCACTCCTACCATGTTTGGTGGGACTGAAGCAAGTGAGATTGTGGGACCTTATGCTCAGCGCGTGTCTAACCAGCTGTTGTTGGGTTTTCATAGCTCATCATAGTGAAGCAGCGTGAGCAGCGGGAGATGGTTTTCCGGCAGTTCCTGGTGGAAGATAAAGGACTCTACGGAGGATCCTCCTATGTGGACTTCCTCTGCTGTGTTCACAAGGAGATCTGTCAGCTGCTTAACTGAGTGCTGTCCTCTCCCACTGAGGTTGCTGAAGAGACAGTCTCTGACTTGGTGCCTAATTTTTCGATGATAGTAGGCTAGTTTTAAATTTCTTGATTACTTTCAAGACAGCTTGCCAAGACAGCACAAAGACCTTCAGCTTTGGTGCTTGGGTAGTGAGCCCATGGAGGAATCATAAAGGGAACAGTCTATTCTGGCTGTCCAACTTGTAACTTCTCAAGCTGACAGTTTGCATTTCATAAATACATAGTTTACAGGACCATTTGCAGTCTCAATTTTCTTTCTTTGTGCTAAATTTATAAATTATTTTTCAAACTGTATAGATTCACAGTACAATTGTCTTGGTTCCTCTCTCTTTCGGCATGAGGAAAAGACTTCATTTTTATCTTATACCTAATGCTTTAAAAACCCCATGACTACATTAAACAGATTTTTTTTTTTTCAACAGAAGATCTGCACAGCAGACTTTTTAAAACCTTGAAATATGCCTGGTAGAACAATTTGTGTTCTCCTTTTTTCATAATTATATATTGTTTAAAATATTTTCCAGTTGTTTTGTCTATAAAATGGTATCTATATTCTTAATGGTTCTTTGTACAATGTTGATGGTTTCTACCTGTATATAATGGATCTTAACCAATATCAATAAATTACTTCATGTATTCTGGCTTACTGTTTTTTATGTCTTTTGAGAATTTAAAAAGCAATAGGATATCATTAAAAGTACATGGCAAAAACTCCCAAGCTGGATAGCTGAGAATGAATCTGTATAAAAAAATTATCCTTGTAAAATGTTCAGGAGTATCAGGCTGTCAGAAACAGTCCTTGAGAAAGGCATTTTACAAGTTCTCTGGCTGAGCTGCTTACACCTGAGGACTCTGCTCTTCGCTTCTTGGGCTAAGTTGCCTTCAGTGTGCATAGTAACAATTAGTTCTCGTATAACATTTTTTCAAGTTCTTGAATATATCTTTGTAAGAAAGATAAATAGAAATGACTATTAATGACATGGGACTATTAATATGAAGGTAAACCTAGGAGAATGCCTTTGAATGGCGCCTTCAACTTTATCCAAGACATGCTACATGTTAATTGCTGCAGTGCAAGGGAGTACCCCTCCCCTATGGCGTATCTCCATTTCCATGCTTGTTGCAGGCAGCAACTTCCTCCTGTTAGCTTCCTTTACGTAAGACAGCCTTGCGGCAGCTCAGCACTTCATTGGTGAGCATGTGGCTGGAAAGGGTCGTTTGCAGGTTGGTGGATGCCTTGAAACCGAGAATAGCAGATAAATGCGCTGACCTAGTAAAATGCTCTTGTGCTTGCCAACTAGTGGGACATTTGGATCAACTTGGATGTTTAACAAGAGCCGAAGGTCCAAAAAAACAAATAATGGAGGTGTTTGGAGAAAGCAGATTAAAAAACTTATTTAAAGATATTTGTCATTAAGAGAAGTAGGGTAAAAGCAAATGTGGCCTCAGTCAGCAGAAGCAAAGGGACCAAGGGAGCATGTTGCAGCAGGACCTGCGGCCAACATGGACTTCCGTATTGCTCCTACTTCTAGCTGTGACATCGGGGTAGTAAGAAACCTTTCTGTATCTCGGTTCTGTATCTCCTATCTCTCAGGCACTCTACTGTTCTTGTTAGTCACAAAGCATGCTACCTTTGCCGTTGGGGCTATCATTAAATGGAGAGTTGGTTAAAGCTTTGTTAATTTAAGTAAAGAACACACAAAGTTGGCTCTGTCCAAGACCTCTGGAAGATGGTTATTCAGTGGAAACTACTTGGTTGCTTGTCTTCACAGATAATGCTCTCTCAAGACAGAAATTAAAAAAAAAAAAAAAAAGCATCAATGGGAAATAGATCTTAAAGAAGGTTATTAAAAATATCCTGAGAGGCTGAAGAGATGGCCTAGAGGTTCAGAGTTCTGGCTGCTCCTCAGAGGGCTCAGTTCCCAGCACCCACACAGTAGCTTACAACCATCCATAACTCCAGTTCCAGGTTCTCCACAGCACCAAGCATGCATGTACCAGTGCAGGTGAAACACCTAAAACTAAAATACAAGTGCCTAGTTAAATAAATAAATAAATATATATGTAAATATGTAAATATATATATATATACACCCCAAGAATTACTACTATTATTATTATTATTAATATAAAAAAGGGACTAAGAAACTATTTATTCAGCACTTACTATGCAACATACACTTAAAAATTGAGAATCCATACTACTGTGTTCATAAAGTAAATGGCTAAGACTTACCACTCAGAGCTTAAGGCACCTGAATAAGCTCAGGAGAGTAGATAAAGGTAGTTACCAGGAAAAGCAGTAAGCTTTTAATTTGACCAGAGCTCAATGAGGCAGCCACAACTGGGAACAACCCCTTAATATTCAAGTGCTATCCTGACCCGTATCATATCAGGATGGAACTGAAACTTAAGATAATGGGACTAAGCTGACTGACACACAAATTACTGTCTACACTGTTCTGAATTTTGCAATAGAATTATGAATGTTTGTATAGTATTAGAGATCAAACCCAAAGCTTCATGAAAGACAGACAAGTTTTCTACCACTGAGCCACATTCTCAGACCTTAGACTATTTAAGACAATCTAGAAACTGTCTTGAAAGGCATAAACGTATTGAATGACAGCTGGGTTCCCAAGTAATTTAAGCAATTGTCTTAATGGTTTAGCAGTATAAACAACTGGATACACTGAAAACTTTTTTGACCTTTTGTCCTTTGCTTTCAAAAAAGATAAAGATTCACAAAGATAACTTGGTAATAATTTGGTCACCCTTCTATGCTCTTAACAACTGTAAATGCTTGCTCATGTGTAGGAGTCTCTAACAGGTGTGAACTTAGCCACACAGCATTAGAAGCCACATTTTGAAACAAGAATGGTATCCTCACCTATCTAAATTAAAGAAACTTCATGAGAAGAATATATGAGCAAAGGCTGTAAATTAGCGAGTCAATTTCTAACAATTGGGGCCACTTCAACTGAACATCAAACTTACCCAATTTTCTGTGTGACAATTAGCTACTGATGGCAAATAATATCCTCCTTAATCAGGCCATGAACACTCAGTCACACACACACCTTTTTTTAATATACTCAAGACAGGGCATTAATTAAGGCACTCAGTGATTAGAAGCGGAAGCAAACCATCAAAAAAAAAAAGTACATGCAAACAAATATTCCTATGTTTAAAATGTAGGTAAAATGTGCCTAAAACATCAAATATTCTCATATGGAGGAAACTCCTGGCCTGCTTCAATTCTGCAGTATATACTTGGTTGTGTGTGCATTTCACACTGTTGAACTTTCAGGATTCTGAACCATTCTCAAGTGCTTGGGAGAGGATCTACCTCATCTAACTGTTCCTGTTAATAAGCATCTTCAGTTAGGAGGAAGATCCACAATGCATACGTGTATCAGTCATTTGAACATTCTGTCTAGTCCTAGAGAAAATGTTTACTGGAAAAGTCCAGATTACTTAGACTGAAGGCATTAGCTGTTTCTCTGTGCAGTATGACCAGCAATGTTCATATGAGTAGATGGAGGGCTTGGGAGGAGCGGCAGTGCCGTCATCCAGAAAATGAGCCTTCAGCTAAAGAAATGTTACAGGAAGGCCTACACTTATAGCTTCACCACTGACGGTATATACTTGAGATTCCAGCTAAATATCACACTCCATCAACAAACATACAGGACTGGACGATGATAAGCATCCAAATAGACCCTGATATTATATAGAGCATTTATACACTCTTGGCCAAGTGCTCTTACTCCTGGCCTCCAGCACACTTTAAAATAAAGGCTGCCATACTGATAAAAAAGTGTAAATTATCAATTCAAAAGGGTTTAACATTTTAAGGCATTGGCTGATATCACTCCTAGTGACAGCTGTACAAACCTATCTCACCTGTCTACAAGTGAGATGGCCCACACCTGCCTCTAGTAGAATGAGTAAGTTTCTCCACACAAGGGCTTGAAAGGTAGCTCCCCAACCCACCAGAGCCACAGGTCTGCCACTGCAGCAAGGACCTACCCTAACTGTGAACGTGTGAACTGCCTCACTCATGGTTTCCAGGCCGACGGACACCTTTACCTTTCACAACCAAGCTTTGTTACTTCTGACCATCTCAAGCGGGCTCTCGCTCTAACAGGACTCAGTTTTCTTGGGCACAAGCATTCTCCACTACATAATTGTAGGTGATATCAGCTACCTCACTGTAACGCATGAAGTCTAAGCACTTTGTGCCTCCTAATGCCTATTCTTCGAAAGGAAGACAAGGGGAAAATGGTTCCTGCTATAAATGAGCACTCCCCTGGCCACCCCACCTGGAACTGAATGCTAATGTAATGTTAGGCATGCTGCTTTGGAAACTTTAACTGGAAACATATGGCTGTGCCACAACTTTGTACTATTGAGAACTAAACTAAAAATCTGTTTCTATGGAACTCTGTGACATATGAACTCACAAAGATCCACTGCCTCTGCCTGCCAAGTGCTGGATTAAAGCCATGCACCTTACACCTGGCACCACACTGTACTTCATATGCGTGAATTCCACATCTTACCTTCTTTCCTTGACTGACTCTAATCTTCCTGCTTTTCTACAGAGGATGAGCTGTGGAGCTAAGCTTCAAACTAAAAAAAAAAAAAAAAAGTCAACTCTCTCAGTAAGATGAACTGCAAAACAGATCTCATAGTGGCCTAAGCCAAGTGAACACCAGACTGTCACTGTCTTTTATGCCCAGAATATGAAGCACAAGTGTCTGATGTATAGGGAAGAGATACCCCGGAGCCAGCGCTCCTAAGAACTTACCACAGAACAAATGGGAGTTCCTACCTTCTCCTTACAGGTCAAATCTGCCATACAGTTTTGCTTTTGGATAATTTATAATTACTGAAATTAAAACACCATTACAGCAAATATTCTAACCACCTGTGATATGTAAAGGTTATTCTAGAAAGCACCACCAACTGATTGAAAAAAGCCAAATATTTCAAGCATTTAAAGTGTAAGTCCTTCAAACTGTGAGTTCCGTAGCTATCATATAAGCCCATCTCTGACAAGTAGAACAGAACAGCCACTCAAATGCAACCCAAGGGAAGAGTTTCACTTTAGGTTGGTCCCTTTTTATTTGGTAAAAATAATAATTGCACATAAGGAAAACAAACTAATTTCAAAGGTTTAAAGTTTTATTAGAAAAGGTAAAGCAAAATAAAAAAGGAGTTACCAAGAACAATAATGTTAAAATCATCTCATCTGGCATATCCACATCCATTCAAATATGAGTTAAGGTGTAGAAAGACAACAGCATGATGCTTTCTACAGCCAAGAGATCTGACCACCAGCCCCATGGAGACTTCTGCACCACAGTCTAATAAAAGGCAACTGCAGTTTCATCTTCCAAGCTGTATCCTTGAGGGTTTTCTGTATTTGCTTTTACCTAAATTTTTTCAGTAACAACTTCAAGGATGCCATTTCTTCATCATCAAGCATTTATTTTCTAAAAAATTTAAACTGTGCCCTCCCCCCCAGAAAGTCTGTTTTGATCTTTGCTAAGAAATACGAATTGTCTTAGAAGGTCAGTCCAAGTCCACATCACAGCCCTACCTTCCCTTGCTTCTTAAGAAGCATGATTATGTCTCCTCTGTAGTCGCACAATTTACATTATAAGCTTTGGGTTTTGTTTTTAAATCTAGTAAGCTCTACCTCTTCCTTTACCTACCCTGAGGGCTCCAGCCCCTCAGAGTCAGATCTGGAAGGAAGTGATACCATTTCATTTCTCCAAGTCTTCAGTACTCAAATGATACTTCATGTTATTTTTCAGAATTGAAACGTAAGAGGAAAATGGTCTGTCTTTTTAGTGTTTCAGCAAGAAAATGTTTAAGGCCCAAAGAGGCTGACCACCTCTCAATTCTATTCTACCCAGGTTCCCATTCTCCTGTTGCTGTTTCAGCTGTGGCAAGGAAACACGGCACCAACTCCTGCCATGCTCCTCAGGGATGCAGAAACTGCTGCTCATGTATTTCCAAGAAGCCAGAGCCTTAGCTGAAACCAGTCATGTCAGTGTCTGAGTGTTACAATCTGTGCTACTGCACGTCCGAGACTCACCTATCCAGAGCAGAAGTGCAGTCTCTGTGACAACTGCAAGGACCTAGGGGGTGGGGGTAAGGGTGGCTCTGACCTTTCTGGCAGCATGAGAAACTAAAGCCAAATGCAAGCTGGGAGTGAGTTCTAAAGCAAGTCTCCAAAACAAAGATCATAAGGGACATTGTTAAGTGTCTTTAAAAGTTACCGAGGTGGAAAGCCCCCTCTGTGTGTGCCTCCACGACCCCCCCTAAAGCCACCTCTTTCTCCTCGGAAATTGGATCGATTTCTTTCCCGACCGCGGCCAGCAGACGTTCCCCCTCGTCCTCCACCTCTGGGAGCTCCACCGCCTCGGTCAGACTTGGACTTAGGAGGAGGCGACTTGGGTCTAAGCCTCTCGATTTCCTCTGTGCAGCCAGTCAAGTACGAATTAGGGGCACTGAAATAGGACGCATATGTTTCTGCATTGTAGTTACTATTTGTAAGCGTTGGTCCAACTGTGAGCCAGCCTGAAATAAAGGGGGAAAAGAAACTGATGAGACCTTCTATCTCCTTTCTCTTTCATTGGTCTTTTAGGGCCTAGGTCAAATTCTTAACACATTCTTAAAGATGACTCAATTACACAAACTGCCACAATCTCTGATAAAAAGTGTACAACACCCATGGGCATATCATAAAAGGGTACATATGCATGTTCCTTGCTTCTCATCCGTGATTATAGCTTTTGTAAAATATCACCTTCCCTGTTATTGGTCCACATATTATACTGTTAGAGTATCACTTATAAAAAATATTTCAAAATATAATGTTTGGATCAGGTTAAAATTTAATAAAGTATATCATATATCTTTCCTACTTATAAAAATGGGGCTGCTGCTTTCTCATTAAATCTTAAAAAAAAAAAATGTTTTTTCTCTTATACAAAATATCCTCAGTTCTTAAGTCCTAAGAATTGAAGCAAAGCTACTCTGCTCCACCTCATGCCATCTTTCCACAAGCAATGACTTTTCTCATAAAAAGATACATATTTAGCCAAGGATATGGAAAAATGGATACCAACATTAATAACCAAGGCGACAAAAAGCACAATGAGGTATCATTTCACCCCACTCAGAATCTCATCCCAGTCAGAATGGCTATGATCAAAGAGAAAAGAAACTACTATGTGTAGAGATGCAGAGGAAGGGGAGCTCCTACATGTTACTGATGGAAATGTAAATTAGAACAGCTATTATGGACATAGCATGGAGCTTTCACAAAAAAAACAGAACAAGGACTCCATATGACCCAGAGATTCTACTCCTGAGGTACATATATAAAGGAACCAAAACCTGCCTGTAGTATTACTCACACAAGGAGGATATGGAAGCAACGTAGGTATCCACTCATGGATGAATGGATAAACTGAATGTCATATATACAGAGAATGATGTCATGCAATAACAGTAATGGAACTGGAGGACCCTATGTTAACTGAAATAAGTCAGACAAAGAAGAACAAAATACCACATATTCTCATTTATAGGTAGAAACAAAAAGTGAATCTGAAAGATGCAGAGAACAGCAGTGGTTACAAAAGGTCAGGTAAGAGTGAGGGAACCATTAAAGAAACCAGTAAGGACCATTACATAGTAACACATAGTTTAACTATGGGTGATAATTGACTATTTTGAAATAGTGCGGAAGATTTTAAATTTTCCCAATACAAAGGACAACTGAGGTACAATTCCAACAATTATCCTAACCTTATTATACACATGTACAGAAACAACACACTTTAACCCAATAATATAATTATGAGGTGTTAAAACTAAGTGGAGCACAGAGGACTTTTAGGCAATAAAAGTACTCAGTAATATCACAACGGTTGACACACACTATGACGAACTTATCTAAATCCATAAATACCACCAATATCAATCCTAGTATCAATTACAGACTTTGTACAGTTATGCGAGAAATACTGACAAGGGAAAGTATGCATGTGTGGAGCAGGGAGTGTATGGGAAATCTCTGCCTTCTCAGTTTGCTAAGATAAAATTGCTCACACGTGAAGTATAAAGAAGGGGAATCAAATACTTGACACTTTTATTTTATTCAATGTTATATCCTATACCTTAAAACCCACATCTCAAAGAATGGTAACAAAACTATCTTTTCAAAACTGAGGTCTCACCTGGCCTGATAGTACTGTCTCTCCCAAACAGATGTAGACGCCTTCTTCCAAGACAGAAATGCTCTATTATATGAAAAATTTCTACAGGTTTTTCTATATTGCCAATTTCAGGTTCTTCTGTGATAATTAAGTCAATGTCAACATTAGCATGAATGAAGTCCCCATCTGTGCTGCGCTTCACAGTTCCTTTGATCCCCATAAGGCAATGTTCCTATAACAGAGCAGACCAATTAACTCTCATTACCAATAATCACATTTCATCGCATTTAAAATTTATGTCCTCAATTCTAAAACAATCTTCATTTCTATGAACTACTGGGATATGGTTTTACAGTAAAATTATGACAGGAAAGCCTACATCCCTGGCTGACAGGCAATTGGCAAGTAAATGGGAAAAACATTTTTTTTCCCCTTCTATAGTCTCTCAAATACTTTCAAAATCCTACTTCACTTCCGACACAGGTATGCTGGGATTTCTGAAACCATGTAGTTCTCCACTTTTCCCCACTGCAGTTCTGTCTCCATTACTTCAGTTATGACACAATCTATATCATTAGTACACATCCCAATGATTAAAGGCGGCACTCCAACTTCAGATATGAATCCAAAGTCTTATACTTCTCACCAATAAACTATAAATTTATAGTTTGATCCTCCTGGGCGGTTCGTGTAGTTAGGGAAAGTGCTTTACTTTTTACAGTATGTTATTATGATAAGTGGCACGGTAAGGAGGATGGAACTTTAGTCTGCCTCCAGGCACACCTCCCTCTCAGCAACTCCACACCCTCACCAACCTGGAGATGTCCTAAATCCTGTCCTGTACATGATCTAGTCCAAGGAAGACTTAGTAAGCCAGGTGCTCCATCTAGTGGTTTCCAAAGAGTGATAAACAAAAGCTCTTTCAGCTTAAACTAGTGATACAGACTTATATGCAGCAGAAGTCCTCAGTGATTCTTGTAGAGAAAAAGAAGGTAAGATCAGACAAACATGAATCTGACTGGTCAGCTAATGAGTGCCATTCAAATTTCTTTCTGAGTTTAAAGAAGAAAAACTTCTGCAAGTCAGGTGTGTCACTGAACCTAACTTCGATTATGCCAGTTTACAATATATAGGAACACACTGTCTCGTAGTGTACACTGGTCCAGGACCGGGAAGGAGAGACTCTGAAGTTTACCTGGGTATACGTCTATAATGCTCATGCTACTTTGCAAGCCTAAGAGCCTTGCCACTGCAATTAATTTCACAATGTATAGTAATTTAGAAAAGCTTGAGAGAATGAGAATAAAGAAAACAAGATAAAAAAGGCAATACCTTTGTTCTCTGGAAAACTGCCTTTGGATCTAGAGTCTTCGTCTTTCCAGGATTGTTTTTATTGGTTTTAATCCAACAAATATCTTCACACCTTCTGTATCCCCACTTTCGCAAACACTAGAAATAATTTCAAATTCAAATCTTTAAGAGGAATACTTAAAATAATCACAATTAAGAAATCTTCTGGAGGGGCGCCAAACTTCAGAGCAGACACAGAAGAAATGAGGCGCAGTGCAGATGTTAACTATATCCTGTAGATAGTGCACTGGTGACCTCTCGTCACTGTGGCCAAATACCACATAGAATGTGATATACCACATTACATGTTTTTAATTCTCTGTATTTTTAAACTAGCCAAGAAGCCAAAAGTAAAACAATGTTAATCTTGTAGCCTGCGAAACATATTATGGTTTTTTTCCTAACTAAAGAATCCATCTGCGAAGGAACTGAGAAGAAAACAACAAACACCAACTTACTACTCTCCCCAGGTCCAGTCCTTCCCCAGAGCCGCACCAGAGGAAGATAAATGACCGAGGTGCTGCGATCTCATCGATTTCTAACTTCATAATCTAGAAGAAAACAAAATAACATTGCACAAGATTTATAATAAAGCCAAAGAATAACTATTAGGATCTTATGTAAGTAATATTCTAGGATATTCTGCAGAAAATAAATTCTATACCTGAAATTATTTTGATAAGATACTGCTTTGTTATTCCATATACAGGCAACACACATACATGTATAAAAAGACACACACGAATACTTGTTTTCATATATGTTCAAGTGAAAGAGTTATAGAAAAGTAGATTTACAGAATGATGGAATTTTATCACAAAGCTAATAAAATAAACAGTTAATCAGAGGTTAAAAGAGCCCAAAGTTAATAACAAAAGAAATGTCATATGTCAATAGCCACAGACAGTTTGGGTGACAGAGGTAGGAGGACCACTTCTGCGTGGGTAACTACAGAACTCTTCTCTTACAGGTGAGTACTGCAAGTCCCCCACCGTCCAATCGCTCATACTTATTGGCCTCTAGTCAAGCTCCCATGCCAATCAGATGATCTCACTAACCTCACTGAAACCTTCAAACCCTTACTGTACTGTCAAGCAGAAGACTAAGCGCCTAAGAAACCACAGTGCAGTGTCCTCATAATTCCACCTTTAGATCAAATATGCATGTGTTCACTAAAAGGTAAACACTTCATTACAACATAGAGCTCCACCATACATCATCCCACGTCCAGCACTTCTCATTCGCAGTGATGCCAGTCTCTCTGTAGTACTCTTCCAAAGGAGGCTCCAGAAGAATCACATCAAATTTGGGTGTCAATTCTCTGATGTCAAACGCTTCTATATCTGCTTGTAAGTACCTAACAAAAAGGGGAAAAAGATTTTGAAATATCTCTGGTAGTAATGGAGGAAATTCCAATATTACTGGAAAATTATTGCTAAACAAGATTTTTACTACATAGCTTTTCTAGTAGGTCTTTTGTTTTACTGCAGATGTCATCAATATTTTCCTTAGGACATGGACATATTTACAACAAAGCAAAAACCGTATTACTTGACATGTATATCCAGAATAAATCTTATCTTATTTTTTACTGAAAGTCTACACTCAGATGTGATCTCTAACCTATTTTAATTTTTATATTATATTATTATTAGGATTATTTAATTAGGTTAGAAAAATGATATTCCTCTAAATATTAAATTACTCTGTTAGGAGTTTCTAAATATGGACATGATTTCCTTTTATTACCTTTTTAATTGATAAAAATGTTTACATTAATGGTGTTTTCACACTATGTAATGAAAATTACTACTAGCCTTTAATGAAGGTATTTACACACAGCATTCTAAGTTCAGGACACTTCTGAAGAAAACATTTTATTTATTTTTACTGAGGGGGAGGATACTGGCCATGATGTGCATATGGTGGTCAGAGGGCAACTCTGTGCGGTGGGTTCTCTCCTTCCACCTCTACACAGTCTGGGTTTTGAACTCGGGTCATCTGGCATACATCTCTGAACAAAAAAACACCTTTGCTTATGCAAGACATCTCACTGGTGCCCAATTCAAGATACTCATTCCTTTTTTTTTTTTAAGCCCTTGGGGGCTTTTAGTGCGGAAAAATCACAGGCTATAAGCAATTGTCATCTCTGAAGGACAGGACTTTCCTGTCATCCAGGTCACAGGCACAGCCATCAGTACAAGCTCTACTGAGTAGGGAGGGCCCACCCATGTAGCACAGTGATTCCACAACTCAGAAGCCAAATGCAAGTATATGTAGCAACTCATCATGAGCCTGGCTTTTGTAAGGCAGTTTCGAGTGCTCCCAGCCCCAAGCAGGGCATCTCCACTTTACAGATGAAGACTGTAAGTCAGAACTCATAAGCTTCCCAGATTACCTAGAAAACTAAATGAGAAGCCCCTACAGACACAGCACCAGTTTCAAAATAATATGCTTTACTAAAAATAAGAAAGAATACAGTTATAGAATAAATAGGCTGATACTGGAAGTCAGAGGTGGAAAGAAAAAGCATTGAACTACTTACATAGGAGGAGTATTTGATTTAGCTATTAACTCATCCTTTAGTCTGATGAGTTCCCTAAGTTTAGGGTATTCTTCAAATCTGTCAGCTAAACCTAAGGAGGAAAAAATAGTAAATTCTAAATTTCAGTTCAACTGAACTTAACACTGATGAATACAAAAGTTATGAGTCTTCCTTCACCATCAATTTAAATTAAAATTCGTAGTTCATTTTTTCACTGATAAGAAAATAAGTTACATAAACATCTTATCTTAAAAACTAAGTGTCGGGGCAGGAGAGATGGTGTAAGAACATTTACTGCTTTCCAGGGAACACACGTTTGGTTCTTAGCATTCACATCAGATGGCTCATGACTGCCTGTAACTTCAGGTCCAGGAGATCTGACACCCTCTGCTTGCCTGAGGGCACATGCACTCATGTGAACACACCCACACACAGGGGCATACACTTAATTACAAATAATAAATATATTTTGAAAAATCTAAAGTCTTTAACATGAACAATAAAAACAGAAAAAAATTGTAAAGCTCCCTCAATCAGTGATTTAGATCACATTTCAAATTAAAACTTTGAAAAGTGCATCACTCTCAGGTTTGAATACAATAGTCAGCCCCTTATAATCTACAAAACGTAGGTAGAACCTGGAACATTTTGAGACCCCTATCTTCCCTGATGATCTGATGAATAGATTGTGGTATCCTGTTTGGTATGTGAGAATTTACTATCAGCCTTGTTCCTTGTCTCTTGGCATTAAGATCTTGGAAAAGTCAGGTTCCTTTCCTCATGCTATCATAAAAAATATTCAGTAGGGTTTTTTTGTTTTGGTTTTTTGTTGCTTCAACGTAAGGTATTTTAGCTCTCAGCTTTAATTAAAATCTTATTTGACTCAAAATAGACCAACATAACAATCTTTTCTCAATGTACAATAATAATTTTATACATATATTTCTTTATGTTGGGAAAGCAGGTATCTTAAGAGATGAAGAGTCTATATTCAAATATGAGTATAAAATTTATTATAACTTTTTAATGCTACCTCCAAATTCTTCTTATAGAAACATTAAAATCAGAGCCTGGCGTGATGGTATATTCCTGTAATTTCAGGTACCGAACAGGCTGAAGCAAAAGGACCACAAGTTGAAGGCTTGCCTGGGCCATATAGGAAGTTCTGTCAGTCCAAGCAACATACATACATTCTCAAAATAATAAAATGAAATAGGCCTTAGTACTTGTTTACACAGGGCCCTGATTTCAAGCCTTAGTACTGAGTAAAACAATACACACAACTCACAAATAAATAATTCTTCAGGAGTGATGATGCTTACAGCTGACAAAATTTAATATCACATTTAAAATTTTGTGCTACAATGATACTATCAAGGAACTAAAAAGACAAGTAGGAGAGTGGGGAAAAATATTTATAAACTATGTGTGTGTATACAGAAAATATAATGAAATAGGAAAAAGGAAAAAAGGTACAATATATGCAAACTATTTGGTTATTTCTTAAAATATATTTAAGTGGCCAATATGCCTATGGAATGCTAAACTTATCATTAGTTTTCAAGAAAATATAAATCAAAACCACAAAGAATACAGGTCTGATGGCAGACTTGTAATCATTGCTACTTATAAACTAAGGCAAAAGGATGTTCATGTTGGGAGATTAAAGAGTTTAGGCTAGTTTGGGCTACCCAATGAGACTATTTAAAAAAAGAAAAGAACTCACAAACATCTTGTGCACCAACCTCGTCTAAACTTTTTAAGACCGCACTGAGCCCACACAGTCTGGAATCAGGATGTGGAGGCATCAACCTGGAACTGACCTGGAAGCCTCCTCCCTGAGGACTGGCTCTCAGGACTCAAAGGGTGCCATTCAAGCTGCCGAGGGAGAGGAGCAAATGGTAGTCCTACTCAGCATTAAAGCCTATAAACCACAACAATGATTGGCTTGGCAAGATACCCATGATCCTATAATACTGGCACTTACATTTGGGGTTAATCAACAGATATTTAATTAGACTTAAGGCCCTCACAAAAGGAGAGAATTCATGCCTATTACTATAATCCTAGCCAACTATTGTGACTGGAGATCACAGACCTGAGAGAACCTGCTTCTGTCATCTTTCTAAACCAAGATAGTTTCTAACTGTATTCTAAACTCCCACACCAAAGAAGCTTTTTTTTTTTTTT